GCTGTATTTGCCACCACTGTGGAAAGTATTCCTAAAGCGTTGGCAGGAATACGCCAGCAAGGGATTGAAAGGAACACAGTGCCTAGCTCTCCTGTAAGGCCCCCGCCTTGGCGCGGTCAGTAAAGGCAGATGGGAGAAAGGAGTGGGGTGGGGGATTCCTATTTACACACGTGAGACATTTCTCCTACTTATTTAATTTCCATAATAAACCTGAGAGGTATACTTTATAGAGGAAGGACCTGGGACTACCGCACTTTGGCAGGTTGGTAGTAAAGACAGGATTTGAATTCAGTTTCAATTCAGTTTATGGTAAAATATAACACAAACACACAGAGAAAAGTGTATAAAACGGGGCATGGCAAATGAATCGCTATAACGCAAGCACACATGTGGCTGCTACCAGGTCAAGAAGCAAAATACTGTCAGCCTCGAGGACACCCCTGCAAACTCTTACCCCAACACCCAGCCCACCCAGGTGGGAGCTTGCCCACGTTTTCTTGATCCCCTTTCAAGTTTCTGTTCCCTTGACATTACAGTCTAGTTGTGCCTCATTTTGAACTTGACATAGACTTATACTGCGTGTATTCTTTTGCGACTTGTTTGTTTCACAGACTGACCTTATGGACTCATTGGCTTTGCCTATTTTTGACCTTCACAAAAATGAAATCATGTTGCATGAGTGTCTTTGTTATGTCATTGAAATTTATTCATGTTCATTCCCATTGCTGAGGAGTATCCCCGTGTGTGAACGTATCACACTTTGTCACACTACTGATAGACATTTGAGCTGTTTCCAGTTTGGGCATATTATGAAAAGTATTGTTATTTAAATTCTTATGTGTCTTTTGGGGAACATATAACTGAATGAATTTCTGTTGGGAATTCGGCTAGGAGTGAAATTGCTAAGTCACAGGGAGAAATTACTCTGAGATTCAGCAGATAATGCCAAATGGTACAAATGAATTTGAGTTTTTTATTATATCTCCCAGATAAATTGAACATTTTTATCATGAGGAGAACATCCTCTTTATTTCTGGTAATATATCTGCCTTAAAGTCTATTCTATCTAATATTAATATGGCTATATCGACTTTCTTTTGGTTAGTGTTTAATTGCTTTATCTTTTCTCCGAGGTTTTTTGGGGTCAACATTTCTGTATCCCATTGTTTTAAGTATGTTTCTTTAAACAGAAAATAGTTGTTTATTTTTTAATTCAATGTATCAATCTGTCTTTAAACTGGAGCATTTAGTTTATTGAATTTAATGAAAGCTCTGATAAATTAAAAAACTACCATCTTATTTTGTCCTTATTACTTATCCTGCCTGTTTGGTTTCTTTAATTCTCTTTTTGTGTCTTCTTTCATAAATCCTTTCATTATTCTCCCTCCATTACTTTGGAATTTATACAAATATGCACACTTAACGTCTACCGTCTTCCTGGATAATACATAATCTTTGGAAAACTACACTCCACTTACCCCTTCCAACTTTTATGTATTTGTTGCCAGGTGTTTTAATACTATCTTGCTGTAAGAAAAAAACCTAACAATGTACAAGACATTAACATTATTGTTTTATATAGTCAGCACTCATTTAAATCCACCACATATATGCCTCTTTGCTGGGTAACTCTCTCAGCTTTCATTATTCTGAAAATGTCCATATTTGCCCTAATTCGTGAAGGAGACACATATACACACAGTCTCTCATATCTTTACATACACGTAACACAAAAGTATAGGTTGGGGGGTTGTTTATTTTTGCAGTTTGAATAGACCATTCCAGTGTCTTTGGCTTGTACTACTTGCCGATGAGAAGCCATCTGTCAATCTAACGCCCCTCCTTTCAGAGAAGTCTCTTTTTTCTGGCTGCTCTTAAGAATTTTCTCATAGTGTTTGGCTTTCTGCATTTCACTCTGATATATCTAAGTCTAAATTTCTATTTTACTTATCTTGGGATTCTTCAGGTTTTAAGAAGTCTATAATGAGGTATCTTTCAACTTTTCCTATCCTGTCCTCCAAGTTGCTTAACTTCCCTTCCATATTTTTTTGTCTCTCTGAACCATATTCTGAATTAATTTCTTCTGTTTTCCAGTTCATGGATTCTCTTTTCAGCTGATCCAACTATTGTTAAATCTATCCATTTAGTTTTTAATTATGGTCACTATGTTTTTCAATTCTAGAAATTCTGTTTGTGTTGTTTTAAAATCTGCGAGGCCACTTTTTAAAGTTTAAAGCCTGTATCTGATATTTCCATTGCCTAAAAATTCTTTGCAGATTTGATCCTGTGCCTGCTCTTTCTCAAAGTGCCCTGTTCCCTTATGTGAATGTTTTAAGATAGCAAAATTGCCCTTTAAAAAATTGGAAATAATAAGGAATTTAGCTTCAAATCCTATCAAGTCTTTACAAGGGCAAAGAGAGGAAAGCACTTACTAAACTGGAATTACCATCAAAACACAAAAAGCACAACAATCTTTTAACTTCAATCCAATCTCATTTTAATCAGAACTGCGTAACAGGAATATTTTTATCACCGGTCATGACCTGAATTCTTGTACATGAGATCAACTTAAATATGGTGCTTGTAAAAAGGTCACAATCTCATAATAAATATGGCAGAAGCCAATCATTGCCCATAGGTAGCTTTTTTGAAATGTTATCAAATGTGACCTTTCCCCCTTCTTTGTTCAATAAAGATCACTTTGTTTTAGAGGTATATTTCTTGGGATTCTGCACATATTCACCCAGAGGATCCTTTCCTCAGGTGATGCCCTTGCTTTTGCTGGCATCTGTGTAGGAGACTTTGGGGGCCTGACCTCCCTCTGCCCAAACAGATCCTACAGGTTTGGTTCCTGTGCTTTCCTCCCTTCAAAGCTATGGTGCTGGACACACTTCTCAATAAAAATCTTCTTGCCCTTCTTGATATCCCATTTTGAAGTCAACTCTCTAGTTATCACATGCTAGAAGGGCTCATCTAGCAGCTGCTTGTCTTGCTCTCATCTCTAGGATTTTTAAAATATTTTATTAAATTTATCGAGGTAACATTAGTTAATTCATCTCTAGAATTCTGATGCTGTGGTCTAAGTGATTCTCAACTCTGGCTGTGCATCAGAAGCAACTAAGGAGTGATTTTAAAGACATAAATAACTATGACTCTTGATTTAGCAGCTCTATACAGGGGTGACCCTGTCCCTTGAACTTTGGAAAAATCCCCAACATGAGAACCATAGTTCCAGCCCCTTGCCCAGACTAGGGGTTGGGCCCTTTGATCTGCCTGAGGGAGCTAGGAAGGGCAAGTGAGTGGAGCGTGAAAATAGCCAAAGGCAAAGCACAGAAGTCATCAGATCTGCCTTGGAAAAACTTGATGAGACCTGTGGAATCACCTGGCCAGGGGAAAGGTCTCAGAGAAGGAGGGAAAAGCAGAGCACTTAAAAGGTGCACATAATCAGTTGTTCCCTAACCTAGTTACTCAATTTTCCATGGCCTGAAAAGTCCTCCTCATGAAGCACATGTCTTTTTAAATCTCATTTTCTCTTCCAGTCTTACTTTTATTAACTCTCCCTTATCTTTAACAGCATCACTCCTTATTTTTATAAGACCTCTATTAACCCAAGCAGAATGAACACTGTCCAACTCATATAATCAATATTCAGAGAAACCACAGAATGTAGCTCACACTGGCAGTTCCCCTGCTGCCTCAGATCACTAGGCAAATGTGGAGAAGAGGAGGGAGCTGTGAGTTACTAGAGCAGAGTCAAGGAGTGGGGCAAATGTCAGAAGCCTTCTCTAGATAACATGAACTCCTGCCTGCGCTTCACCCTGGGCTGTCCCCAGTTGGCTCTGGCACTTCCACTTCAATCTTGGGGCATTCCATCTTTGACAGACTGACTTAGAAGTCTGGTAGTTAAACAAGCTCATAAAGTCATTAAAAAAAATTTTTTTTAACATATTGATCAGCTTCTAAGTTCCCTCAAATAATCTTGAAGCCTAATTTAAAATATATGACCCCCAAAATAAATCCCTCACCTATCTTTATTATAGTTTAGCTTGTAAATAACCCAAATGTCTACCACTTAATGCATGACTTTATGTGACAGGCACTCTGCAAGGGCTTTATGTATATTACTTATATGTATTATACATATATTACATATATTATTTCATAAAATCCTCACAACCACCGAAGATGGTATCATTATGCCAATTTTACTGGTGAAGGAGGTGAACCTTAGAGATGTCTAGTGTGCCACAGAGATAGCCCTTACTGGTGAGAGGCCAGGTAATGAGCACCCAGGACTGTTTGATGGGCCGCACAACACTTCCTTTCACTTTTAGGGGTGGGGGGTGTTGACCTTGAGCCATGGACCCACTTCTATAGTGGCTTTGTTCCTTAGCCTTCGGAGGGTCCCAAGTACTCACTGAACACTGTTTCTTATTGATATTCCTAAATACATAGTTTATGGGCATCCTTTTTGTATTCCAAAGTGAAGAGGATAGGGGTTGCAAGTGATGGCCAGGATGCTGTCTGAGGGCTGGCATGTCATACAGGCTGAAGCTAAGGGTGAAGCCCCACCTTGGGTCATAATGACATGGATAAAAATAAATCCCACAATCATGAGACACCTAGGCACTCTGTTGGCTGCTTTTGAAGCACTGAGCTAGTCTGGCTTCTCAGAAGGCCCAATAACTCAGGTCAGGCCAATACTGATACAGTGAGTCGCATCTGACCATGTGAATAAATGAGGCGACTTACAGTTCACTGAGCTGTAATTCAGCAAATTCAGATTGGCAGATGTGAGACTGTCCCAAAGAGGAGTGCTGCTCACATGGCCCTCCCTTCCTATCACCCCAGCGTTTTTCTCACCACCAGGACCTGCCCAGTATTAGAACAGAGCTTCACTGACAAACCAAAGTACTCACATTTAAATTGGGGGGCATGCCTGCACTAATATTTCAGAGTTCTTAGGGCTTGTCAGAGGAATAGCACCTCCGTGCTCTTACCCTTCCTTCCCTCGATTGTGGATGGCTAGCTCTTCACCAATGCCCTCTTCCTCCTTGAAGCTCTCCCAGTCCAATTTGGACTTCTCCAGGGTGCTCATCTTCTGCTTCTTGGCTCCAATCTTCCCCAAAAGGCTGCTCATGCCACTCGATCTTTTTAATCTAGGGAAAGCAAAAACACAAAACATGTTGCGTGTGAAAATTATAATCTCTGGATTAACGGTTTTTCTGATTGGCACGGGGCTCCCTGGATTCAAGCTGTTTATCGTAATGGGCCACGTTTGCATCCAGGGTCCTTCCTGTCTAGCATGGAGAACACGTCAAACAGACCGGAATTCTAACGCACTTTTCCTGATTAACATCTCTGACCGCTCGAAGGACCTGGGGATAGAAACCCCTGAAGATCTCTGTGTGCTCTGACAAGTCTCTGCTTGCAAGGAGGGAGAAGCAGAACATGATTCAGACACGGCTTTAGGATCACATGCCTACGTTCATATTCATACTTGAGGCTATTTAACCACATACATCTGCCTCGATTTCCTAATCTACAAAGTGAATAGTTACTCATGGGCTAAAGAATATCTTATTCGTAAAGTGCTTAAAACAGCACCTGGCACAGAGTAAAGGTGCAATAAATGTTAGCCATACTGAATCGCTGTCATCATTTGTGCACTAAAGCCCCAGGGAACTCTTTTAAGAGAAAGAGAATCAGATTCCAACAGTGATGATCGAGAAGTGACATTATCTAAAAGGATTCTGAGATCAGTTTCCTTTAGACTCCTGTGAGTCAGGGCCCTGGTTTTTCCCAGGAGGTGCAGAACATTCCTTACCCCGAAAGCAAGGAATGTACAGCCTGTGTTCTTTTCGCTGCTGTTGCTATCACGGACTGTGGGAGAAACCCCATATGCCCAAGTTCAAGTCTTGGCAGGTCAAATGTTTCCAGTCAATGTTATGAGATAAAGTAAGAAAAACAGAATGCAGCTAGTTAGTAAGAAGGTGGTATTAGGGGAAGGAATATGGGGTTTGGTCTCTATGAAACTAAGAGAAATTATATACCAGCATGCAGGCAACTGGGAGTTTTCTGCTTTACTGGAATATGAACAAGAGCTAAAACATTTAAAAACCTCTGTGAGCTAACATCATCACAAGATCTACTGATAACATCAATACCTTTCACTTGCCTAGAATGCTGATTCTCCAAGTGCTTTCATAAACATTTTCTTATCTTATTCCCACTATGGCCTGTGAAAGAGCAGCACTGTGTCTCAGAGTTGGAGGAGGAGGCTTCCAGATGACCTAGTGTCACACTAACCATTCTGAAACTGCACGTCCCTGTAGCACAGAGTAGGTGAAGGACAGGTCACTGCCTCTTCCCTGGAGTGAGCTGACAGGCCAGTGTCCACACTGCACACAAGACTCTTGGGGCTGAAAAATTTCCCTCCACACTCCCATTGTATTCATGTTGACTAAGAGGATGTTAGCTTCCCTGCTGTGGTCACGTCCCACTACCTGCTGTTAGCTTAAGATCAACTCAAAATAGGCTGGGCAGGGATCCTCATTCTCAAGGCTCAATGAGAATAGTTTTCTTGAGTTGGACAAATAAACAAAGTTTGAAGAGGTTAAATGACACAACAAAGGTCAAACCAATAGAAAATGCAGATCCAGGACAAAGCAAGGTCTTTCTGATGCCCAGTGCGATGCACTGTGCTGTCCTTCCTCTAAGGTGAAAATTTACCTATTTTGACAGCTACTTTACTTCACAGTTTGAGTAAGGATTTTCCAAATGGCTTTTTATAAGCTTTCAATCACACCTAAAAATTCTTTCCCTACAACAACCTCTCCATACACACACACACACACACACACACACACACACGTAGATTTTACCAGGAGCAGAGCATGATTGGGGATTTAGAAACTTAATATGTCAAATCTTTTTACTTCTCACCTGCGTCACTGCCCTACTTTGGTTCACATTGTTATTTTCTCTCACCTGGATAATTTTGCAGCCTCTTCACCCATCTCCCCAACTGCTCTATCCTGGCATCTATTCTACATGCTGTTATTAGAGTGAATTTTCTAAAACACAGCACTTATGTCTTTCTGCCTGAATGTCTCTTCCAGGGCCACTATTGCTCTCATAATAAGTCTAAACTCCTTAACTTACAAAGTTCTTCCTGATCTTCTCTTGCCACACCTACCCTTGCAATCTATGCTCCAACTATATAACCCTAACCTGTACCTCACCTCTACCTGCCTCCCTCCCATTCATCTGGTCCTATCTCAGCTTAGAAACCACTCTCCAGGAAGCCTTCCAGGACGCTTTCCTCAGTCCTTAGATTAGCTGCCTCCTGGTGGTGTTTCTATTGCACCCCAGTTCTTTTTCTATTGTAGCAGGAATCCTTTCCATTGCAGATGCTTGAGGACTCTAATTTCAGCAGTCCCCTGCCCTGGTCAATTCTGAGCAAGTTCAGAGTCACTGTTGACAACATTCCACCAAAGCACACACCTGGAGGCTTTCCATTTCTGGCTGCAAGGCCTCCTTTGACCCTGCCTACTTGTTAAACCACTGCCTGGACATGTGGTGGAGTCCATGTCACTGAGGCCACCCTCATGGGGACTAGAGCTGGTGGCCAAATGGCACAGGCCCCTGTCTTCACATAGGCAATTCTGGGAGGTATTCTGAATGCTTCTCAGAAGTTTTGGTGGCATTGAGCCCTCATGGCCTTAGAAATGCACACTTGTATTGGCTTTTCCTGTTCCCATCTCACTCTTCCCACCCTGTCACTCCTGCTTCCTGGGATGACTTTCCAAATAACCTATCTGCACTTAAAGCCATACCTAAAGTTCTGCTTTGAGAGGACTTTAAGACATTTACGAGAAACATGATTTTCCTTGTGCAGATAATCCAAATGACTCTAGAGAACATGGACATAGTTCTGCAAATAGTGGGCACTTGATAAACCCAAAAATGTCACCTGGGTCACAGAACCAATCAGTGGATGAGAATCAGATCTTTGTAGAATAAAAAGTGTTCAAAACACTTGTAAATTGGGGAACTCTAAGGGGAGCAATTTCCACTTGTATTCACCAATCAGCTCTCAACAGCCCAGGGTTCCCCACCGTATCGGAGCAGCATCACAGGCTTTGGACACCATCTCTGTCCCTCAGCCTACAACACTGATGGTATTATCAGATTATACCACCTTTTCCACAAATCACTTTCAGAAGCCTATGAGAAAATGATTTTTTGCTGCATAGCAGTGAAGAGGCTTCCAGCAAAGCAGAAAGCCATAATCCTCACCCTACTTTGCCTTGCTCACCATTAAACATCAGCAAATGTCACCTACGCTATTATGCTTCAGGGGAAAACTTCTAGGTCTGCTTTCATTGGATCATTAACATGGTTTATAATTTCCTAATTTGATAGCCTTGAAAGCAAAATTACCTGTCTTTTATTTGGAGCTAAATCAAAGTGAATAACACATTTATAGTAGCAGCTAGAAGACAGAGAGTTCATCATAACTGAGAGACCAGCACTTTCTTCCTGGAACCTGGAATGTGAGGTCCCTGCAGGCCTCTGAGCTCTCACATTCACTCTCTCACCTCGACGGGGAACTTTAGTGGCATAATCCTGGTGCCATTCCTCGCAGCTCTCAGGAAGGCAGATTTACCAGGACCTTGGCCCTATCTGTGCTATTAAGGTTTATCAATCAGACTTTCAGGAAAGCTGAGGCAGGCAAGAAAGGATCAACTTGTGGGTAGGGGCTGTGCTGTGAAAGGGCATTGCAGAGGGCATCACAGTGGTACATTTCTGTCTCCAAGCACTGTGGCAAGTTGGGAGGCAGTAAATCAGCACTGGTTTCCCATAGGCATATGGCAGCTGTGTAGACTGGAAAGCTGTGGAGAGGGAGGTCAGAATTCCCTTGGAGACCTCTCTGCTGTCAGCAGGAACCAATGCAGTTCCAGGCACAACTGATTTCTCTCTGTTCTGGATCCTAAGCCATAAGGGCAAGATACTACCAAAAGTTGGCTTTGACAGACCACCTACACCCCCAGCTGTGGGTTTTTTGGTCTTGCTTCTAAAGTGTGGTGAGCTTGAATGAATGGTACTTCATTCAAGAGAATCCTCACGTATCTGTTGCAAGTCAAAGTCCAAAGAAATGCACCGTGTACTTGCTCACTCACAGATGGCATCCAGAATGTCATATTCAGACATGTCTAGAGTATTGTTGCCAAGATGTTTTCAACATAACAATGACATCTCAACCACCTCCTCCTGAATGTCACACTACTCCACTGACCTTACTACCACAAGTTCGACGTAAAGACTAATCCTGTCTGAGGAGCATGGCCTTCACTCTGACTAGCTGGCTTCCCACCATAAGAGAGCACAGCCGAGTGCAGTAGGCATAGCGGTGAAAGAGAATCATACCAAGCTTTTCTTTCTTCTGTATTCTGTCCAGTTACCTATTAATCAGCAATTATATCTTCAATTCCCTTCCCACCTAGCCCAATGACCTCTCCCAACACCAGACACCAGCCAAGACCTCACAGAAAAAAATTCAGAAACTCAGAAAAGGAAAAGGGACAAAAAGGGCAAAATGACAGTCATCTTTTTCCTCTCTGAATTCAAAGTTTACAACAATTTGCTAGAATTTATTGTTTCTCTTTAGCTCCAGAAATGTAAGCTTAACAAAACTGGTTGCAAAAATTCCATCTTGTTGAGTCTGTCATAAGGAGAGGGAGACAGAGAGACAGACGCATCAATGATCACTGATCAGCTGCCTCCTGCATGCCACAGACTGGGCATCGAGCCCACAACCCTGGCATGTGCCCTGACCGGGAATTGAACCGCAACCTCCTGGATCCTAGGTGGATGCTCAACCACTAAGCCACGCCCAGCCAGGCCCCATTATCTTTAAAATCAGCTCAAGCACCCAGCCATCCCACAGAATAGGATTTTAGGTTTGGGAATGTATTTAGAGTCATTAATTCATTGTATTCATTCAACAGAGATTACTGATAAATTACTGTATACCAGACATTATGCTTGGAACTGGGGACACCAATGCAAGGCATAATCTTTGGCTTCAAGGAGAAAATCTAACAGATGAGATTATCATACAGGCACAAACTGTAACCACATACTATGAGGGCAC